AGGAAGACATAAAAGTGCAAATCAGAAAAAAACAACAAAGCCGCTCATGTCCAAAAGACTATTCAAGAATGTGGAGCAAGGCTTTAATGAGTCTTGGCAATCAACCAGCAGCTCATGTCCCCAGTGGAACGACCCACTAAGAAAACAAAACAATCATGATTTGTCTGTTTCCGTCTCTCCAAAGCCAACTCAAGGCCTGATTTGGACCTGGCCACTGTGGTTGGGGGGTGAATGAAGCATTCAGTGTTTCAGCGTGAGACAACAATCAGCCTCGCTTCAAGACTCAGGAAAAAAAAGCACAGTTCTTATTATTAGTGTGCAAGGCTGCAAAAGGTACACAGTACATGGATTCTCATCTTTTGCTTTGCAAAGCATGATTAATGCGATTCATATTCCATAATCCTTTTTTTTATCACATTGCTTGATTGAATCTAAGCTTCAGTGCCATCAAAGAAGACATCCAAATTTATCTTACAGAGAAAATTTAATAAACCATAATGTTAAGGATGATGTAGATAATGTATCTAACCACAAATGTAGTGCATGCTACAAAACATGAGACCTCTTTTTTTCCTACCTGCCATACATATTTGCATAACAAAGCCATAATTGTGTTTTTTTTAATGAATATGCTATTTAAATTCACATATTTGTATTTGAAGCTCGTGCAGATTAATGCATTTAATAGAAGAAATATGGGGCTGAGCACCACAGATTGGCTCAGAGATTTTCATTTATATTGGAGCACATTGTTGCTCAGTAACACAGTGTGTAAAATGCAGTTGCTAGAGCATAAAACTAACTTTTATCAATCTCCTTCTTAGCAGGGTCAGTGAAACTGAATTCTCTGCCCCCCTTTCAACCTCTATAAAATAGCATCATTATGAGATATTTTGCTCGTTGACCCTAACAACTGTGGGAGCAGTTGTTGAGCTAAGTAAAGAAGCAGAACACTTGCTGACCCACTCTTTTCCTCTGAAAACATAATTACAGTCCTCAGGGTAGCTGATAACCAAATTATTTTGGGAAGTGAGATGAATAGAAAATTGCTATATCATTGCTTATGCTAAGGAGAACCAATTTTGTGCCATTACACAGCATTTCCTGTCGTTTACATGGCTAAAGGCCAGAGGCAGCCTTTGGTTCCACAAGGCACTGGCCTCATGGTTATTGGGATATTCCAGCTGGAGAGTGTTAGCTATCTAACATTAATTCAGTAGTTTGATAGTCACTGTAATTAGTGTTGGGTATTAGTGACAAGACCACATTATTTTTCTTAGGTTAAAAAAATATGATCTAAAGTGAACTGAAGCTTATTTCCAGCGTCACTTTAAATGAGCTCCAAAACCTGGGCGGGTCTGCAGAATGAATGACACGTGTGATTGGTCCACTGTAGGAGAAATGCTCTCCCATACGGTGGGGTAATATTGAACTATATAAATACATTTAACAGTGATATGCATCACTGAGTTGATGCTCGCATCAGTCACAGTGCAAGTTTACATGACCTGCCTCCTTGCACATCTCCATCCCCCCTGTTTTTATTCAAATATATATAGCGTTGTTTTCCATGACCACTTCCTGCAACTATTTCACATTAAAAGCCTTAAGCCTTAGGCTGTTAAATCTGAAATGAACACACCACAGTGCAGTGCATTGGAGTGGGAGTAGAGCAAAAGTAGTAAAATGTTGCAGCTTATGCTAATTAACCAGAAAGAATAAGAATAGGCCAGGAGAGGTGAATAAAGGTTAATCTTTGTAAGATCAAATTCAGTGTTGATGTAAATGAAGAAGAAACAAAGAGTTTGGCTCAGCTTTTACAGGTTTGGCTGTTCTTAAAAAATAAAAGCATCATCCATTGCAGTCTTAACTCTGGCAGTGCAGCCAAAATAAAGAAATAAAAATGTACTGTGTTGCTTCAAGGCAACCTTCAGCTACCAGCAAATCTTAAGGGATAATGTTTTCTTACATCTAACTCAGTGCATGAGTTGAGAATGTGAGGCAAGCAAGCAAGTTTGTCTTAATGGTTCTTGTGCATAAAAAAACCTGCATTTCAATAAGATGATGCTATACATTTAATTTTCTCACATCACGAAGAGCTTTTCTTATACTGAGAAAAATCTCATCCAGCCCAGTGATTAATACTTTAAGCTAGACTCTACTCCTATGCACCTGATAAGTCCTCATATAAATAAGTATGTCTATACAAAACAAAACCTCCTTGACAAATGCACACAGTGTTAAAGCATCTCATTTGATTTCCATGCCAAGTCTCCTCCTGCATCTCTGTCTTGCCTTGGGCAGCAGGTATCTCGGTGTGCTGTACTAAACACAAAGATGTCTGCTGTGACATCTTCTATTGTTCTTCCCTGTGACAAGAGTGAATTGAGCAGGCATTGAAATTGTTCTAGGGAAACAATTGGGTGCACTCATGGTACTAAACAGAGGGAATGAAGTCTGCTTTGTTATTACCCAAAAGCCTGAGACTGCGAACACAGCAAAGTGACGTCTGCTTGATAAATAAATGACAAATGCTGCAGATGGCTTAAATAGATTCAAGGTAAGTTTCATCTTTTATTGATTACTGAACTATGTTGAACTGCATTCCTGTGTGTTTTAAAAGCTGTTCAGACTTAAGTTTGCATCTAAAAACTTGCAGTTCAAAGGCACTGCCAAGAATCTGGCTTGAGTGTGTGGGCTGGGCGGACACATAGGGATTTAATAATTGAACTAAGAGACTCTGCTGGCTGCAAACAGTTGGTGATGGTCTCTGTAGTGAGTCCACTCTCCTCCAGCGCCCACAC